AGATGAAGTCAGTGGCTGTCCTTTCCCTGGCCTTCTCTTTCCCTCTGCCCAGTTTCATACAACCTCCTTCATCTATCGCCTACACTCAAATTCTTTCTTAGAGTTTACTTATTTGTTCCTTTTGTGAGTGAGCGAGAGGAACAAAGAGACAGTATTTTCAAGCAGGTCTTAATGCTGCAATCCGCTCCCAGCCCCAGCCGGCCCAGGGCCGTGGGTATGCGTGTGTCCAGCATGCTCAAGAAGTTCTCTAGACTTGAACCAGGAATCCCCTCATGTGGGTCGACCTTACAGAGCATCGCGTTTTATTGCTGCGGCCCTTGTACTCTGCCCATTAAACTCAAATCCTTAGAGTCCGCCTCTAAGGAATCCCAACTAAGACAGCAGAGATTGAAACTCAGGTCTGGGTGATTCCAACCCTGTTATTCTGGTAATTGGGGGAGAACTGAGGGGAGGGGAGGGAGGAGGTCTGGGTGGAGGAGAGGACATGGGTGGGGAGGGACAGAGAAGCAGCCAGTCGCACCTGGGCCTTAGAGGAGCACGGAGCCGGAGGGGAAGGGCTGCGGAAGGCTGTCGGGCTCCCGAGTGGGTCTTTCTTGGTAGCCAAGCAGAGAAGGGGCGTCAGCCCCAGGGTGGCCTGGAAGACTTACATGAGGGCTCTGTCACTCTGGTTATCCCCAAGCCTCTGCTTCTGTGACAGTACCCAAGTCACTTACTCATCCCTTTATTCTGCAAGCCTTTCCCAAAGGCTTCCTTGGGTCCCGGGAATGTGGTGGCATGTTAAGTGGGTCAGTGGAGTCCAGTCCCGGGGGAGAGAGACCCATACCTTCCTGGCCGACCTTCTGTGGGGGCCCTGCAGGCACCCTAATGGCAGGGGCACGCCACCCCAGCCTGTTTGGGAAGGGGATGGGGTGCAGGAGTCGTTAGTAAGGGAACCCACTGGTAGGAACTCACCTGGACTTGATTATGAAACTGACCAACAAGACCTCAGTCCCACCAGCCCTGGTCATAAGAGCTCATCCTTGTGTAGGTTCCAAGGACATCCTGTTTATTCACCCTGTAATCCTGCTACAACTCCGTTTTACGGACAGGGGACTGAGGCCCAGGGAGGTTGAGAAGTAGCACAGTTGAACCCAGTGGTTCTGTCCAGAGCCACATTCTGGGCCACCAGGGCGAGCTGCCTCGTGTCAGCTGCCTCTGCCACTTGCCAGGCTCCTCCCAACCCCACCATGCCAGGGTTGGGCCAGGGTGCCGGGGATATGGGGGCCTGACCTGACATGGTCCCAGTCCTCACAGAGCTCCTGGCCCAGAAAGCAGCCTCGCAGGCCGACCAGGCAGACAAGCCATCTCCAGAATTCGGCCTTTTAGCTGCTCGTGGGTTTTCAGCCAAGAAAATATTTTGGAAATGCCTGGGTGAGTTTTGCAATATTTCTGCGTGGAGCAGCTGCTCAGAGCTTGCTATGGGCTGGCAGGCAGGAGGAACGGGGAGGAGGGTACTGGGGAACCCACGTAATTAAACACTCACCGTGCGCAGTCCGTGCTAAGCGCCTCCTCGTCTCCTCTGACGCCCGGGCCCGCCCGGAGAAAGAGGGCTGGTTCTCCTTCCTTACAGATGGGGAAACCGAGGCCCCGAAAGGCACACGGACCTCGCCGAGATCTCTTGGCCACTTGGCGTTAAAATTCAGCTTGACCTCTCCATCTTTCCCCTTCCTGGGGAAGGAGGCCTTCCCGACTGGGCCCCTGGTCCCGACCTCATCCTCCCGCCCTCCCTTCCCACCTCACGCGCCGCTCCAGCCACCCTGGCCTTCCTCTCTCCTGAGCGTGCCAGACTCCTTCCCTCATAGGGCCTTCGCACTCGCCGCTCTTTCCACCTGAATGCTCCCCCTCTCTTTATAGGCTGACTTTGTCCCATCTGGAAGTCCCAGCTGTGGGGCCACTTCCTCGAGGAGCTTCCCAGCTTCCCCAGGGGCTGTGATAGCTCACGCTCTCTTCTGTTCAGTGCTTGACCCTTTCCGAAATGATTTTTTATGTTTAAGAACTTGGGTTTTGTTTGGCTGGCCCCCGCCCCGAGTTCCATGAAGACGGTCGGTCACCTCGTCTATTTGTTCATCCCAGGAGCCTAGCAGAGCATGGGGCACATAGTAGGTGCTCAGTGATTGGCTCTAAGCCTCCGAGTTTCTCTCACCACTTCCCACTGAGCAGTCACTTTTTAAAAAAGTTTTCATTTATTATTTCTTTTTTTCTTCTTCTTTTTTTTTTTTTTTTTTTTTTTGAGAGGTTTTTGCTATAGGGCATGTGTGCTCAACTGAAAGACAGAGAGAGACAGAGAGCCAGAAAGCGAGAAATCACCCCCAGGGAGATGGCCATGCCGCAATCCCTTCTCCATTCTCCTCTCAGGATCTTGGGCACGCATGCACATGCACCCAGTGTGAGTTCAAGCCACTGTGTCCGGGACGCGAACCGCAGTGGACTACATGGGAGTCCAGTGACACAGCCATTATGCCAAGTGCTGGCCCCTCATTTATTATTTCTTCTGTGAGAGAGAGAGACTGCGGGGGCAGCGACCCCAGTGGGGTCTCCCTGCTGCAGTCCACCCCCAGCCCAACCAGCCCGGGTCGTAAACACATAGTCACGTTCCTGGTGTGCACAAGGGTCCTGGGACACAAAGCCAGGACCTCCTTGGATGGGTCCAGATGTGTCACCACTGTGCCCCAGCTCGGGCCTGGCCCCAAGCAGCCACTTTTACATAAACAGTTACATAAACTTTTGGTAATCTTCACTGCCCCCAAACTTGCTATTTTTTCTTGGGCCACTGTGACATGGATTCTGCCACATTTCCTTTCTTTTTTTTTTTTTTTCCTAAGGAAGGAATTTGCTTTTGAAACCTGCCTTTGGGGTTTTGTGGTGCCACTAGCTAGCTTGGGGTGGTGACATTTGATGGCGGCAAAGCTGCCATATGGTCCAGGTGTCTGCGTCTTCCTTTCAGGGGCAACTGGGGTTTGCAGCTGATTGCAGCTGTCAAGTTCAATGCCTGAGACGAGCTTTTGATTTTGCCAGGTGTGTCTGCGAGGCTGGCTCGGGGAGAGGCTGTCACTTGCCCGGCACAGAGGTGGCTTCTGGGAGCTCCGTCTAGATGGGTCTGTGCCACTGCTGCCCCCAAAATAGCAGAGGGAATTTCAAGGAAGACTTTTTCTGGGCTCAGAGCAACTTGGCATTTTTATTAGATCAAGATCACATCCAATAAAGTACAGCAAAAGCCACTTCCTTTATTAAAATGGAAACAGACAATATTTCTGAAATAAATATCGATGCCAATTTGCCCGGAGCACACACGGGCACTCAACTGGGGGATGTCTGAGACCCTGGCATTGGGGGTCAAGAGAGCTAAGAGCCACCGCTGGCATCGGCATCATGGGGGCAGATTGCCGGGCCCCACCCTCAGAGTTTCTGGTTCTGGGGGTCTGGCTGGGGGCCTGGGCTTCTGCATTCCTACCTAGTCCCCAGTGATGCTGTCATGGGCCTCGGTCCTCTGAAGCTACTGCCAGGGGCCAGTCTGCATTTTATCAGTTGCTTGGGCTACTCAGCAACTTCTAGATGGAAATGGCAGCTTCTAGTGCCAGCTCCCCTCCCATCCATCCTCCGAAGACATAAGCTTAATTATGAACCTCTTCTGCTGGCTTCCTTGGTGGGCATCGGGCACCGTGCCAGCCCTTCCGCACATCCCCACAGGGGCCTCCTGGCACCAGCCTCCCCTGCCTCATCTTTCCCGCAGTCCCTCATCCTTCTCCAGACCTTCTTTGCTAACTTGTGTATTTCCAGTCTCTCCCC